CATGTTCAAAGAAATTATAAAGGTCTTTGAAATATTTATATAAACTTCTGCTGCCCCTTGTCTTTATACAAATATATCGCTGAACTGTTTTCATGCTTGAAATTCACTGACGGATCTCGCAGAGAGGTGTATTTATTCTGAAATAATGTGAACCATGGTTATTGCACACAGACAAAAGCCCTCTTAACTAATCACATGGTTTTTTTAGGTAATTTTGGCATCTAAATTTAGTTTTGCCACAGCAAATGGGTTTGAAAATTTTGAACAGGGTTTGAATGTGTGAAGTAGGTAATGCATATAATTAAACTGCTACTTCAAACTGACATGACTGGAACCTTTAAAGCAACAATGTGAAAACTGTTCAAGGGTCTGAATACTATTGCAAAATACTAGATATTTTTATATATGCAACTACTACACTGATGAATCCTTATAAGGGAAAAACAGCAGTTGTAGTTGCTACTTTAGAAAATTAGAATTCTTATTAGATAGTTCTGCTGCTAATGTTATGAAATACAGCTAATATTCACACACATGCAAAGACACAGACTAAACAAAATTACATTGCTTTTTTTATATTGCTAATATTTATCAAAGTCATCTGATATGCTTTAGAATAAAACTAGACACTATAGACAGTCAACAAACCTTTCTTTCAAGACAACCTTACCCATTTGCATCTGGTTTGACCCTACATCCTCCTAATCACCTTCTCCTTCCAGCTGTTTTAACTACTGTGCATTTTTGCACGTTATAATACCCATGTACACAGAAAAATACCTTACTTAAGAGTTCAGCAGATGTGCACCCCACATTTCATCCATCCATTTTCTAACTAATTTATCCACTACAGGGTCATGGGGGAGCCGGGGTCTATCCTGGCAAGCAATTGGTGCATGGCAGGGTACACCCAAGACAGGACACCATTCCAATGCAGGGCACACAGATACAAACGCACACACTCATGTCAGGGCCAGTTTTCTTAGAAGCCAATTAATCTTATCATACTGTATGTCCTTGATTGTGGGAGGAAACCGGAGCACATACTGTAGAAGAAACCCAAATAAATACAAAGAACATACTAGTACAAACTCCAGATAGCACCTCAGGAATTGAACCCAGGGCACCAGCACTGTGGGGCAGTCATGTTAAACTATACATTTAC